CGGGAAATCGATTTCGGTTTCGTGTTCGTGCGTGCCGTGCGGGCGAGGCGAAGCTGCGTGGGCGGGCGAGAGAAAGTCTCCTGTGTCTGAGGCGCGGCCGGACCAAATGACTCCCTTCCGGGCGGCCGGTGGCCCGCGGTGTCCCGCCGGTGTCCCGCTGGTGTCCCGTGTGGCTGAGGCGCGGCCGGACCAAATGATTCCCTTCCGGGCGGCCGGTGGCCCGCGGTGTCCCGCCGGTGTCCCGCGGTGTCCCGCGGTATCCCGCGGGTGGTCCGCTGTGTCCCGCGGTGTCCCCGCGGTGTCCCGCCGGTGTCCCGCGGTGTCCCGCGAAGATGATGATGATGAGATGATGATGATGATGATGATGATGATGATGATGATGATGATGATGATGAGATGATGATGATGATGGTGTCCCGATGAAGATGATGATGATGATGATGTTGATGATGGTGTCGATGATGATGATAGTGTCCCGATGATGAGGATGATGATGCTCATGCTCATGATTTATGTTGATGATAATGAGGATGATGTTGTCCCGATGATGATGATGATGATGATGATGATGATGATGATGATTCCGATGATGTTGGTGATGATGATGTTGATGGAAATGGTGTCCCGGCGATAATGATGTTGATGATGATGATGTTGATGATGATTATGGTGTCCCGATGATGATGCTGATGATGATGATGATGGTGATGATGATGATGATGGTGATGCTGATGGTGTCCCGATGATGACAATAATGATAATGACGATGTTGATGATGATGTTGCTCATGATGATGATGGTGCCCCAATGATGATGATGTTGTTGATGATGATGTCGATGATGATGATGCGATGATCATGCTGATGATGGTGTCCCGAGGATGATGACGATGTTGATGATAATGTTGATGATGAGAACGATGGTGATCATGATGGTGTCCCGGTTATGATGATGATTCTGATGATGCTGCTGATGATGATGACCATGATTGTGTCCCGATGATGATGATGATGATGATGATGATGATGATGATGATGATGATGATGATGCTGATGATGCTGATGATGAGATGATGATGGTGATGAAGATGATGATGATGATGTTGTCCCGATGATGATGCTGACTTGATGATGATGCTTATGATGATGATGACGGTGCCCTCATGATGATGACGATGTTGGTGATGATGTTGATGTTGATGATGATGATGATGATGATGACGATGATGATGATGATGATGATGATGATGATGATGATGATGATGATGATGATGATGCTGCTGATGATGATGATGATGATGATGATGCTGATGCTGATGATGATGATGACGTTGATTGTGATATCGATAGTGAGATCGATATGGAGACCGAATGTGAGATCGATTGTGTGATCGATTGTGAGATCGATTGTGAGATCAATTGTGAGATCGATCGAATGAGATAGATCGAGTGATATCGATTGTGATATCGATCGAGTGAGATCGATCGAGCGAAACCGTTAGTGAGATCGATACTGAGATCGATAGTGAGACCGATCGAGTGAGACGTTGGTTCCCCCCCCGAACCTCCTTATCACCCGAAGGCTGGTCGTATAGGTAATGATCGTATCATAACCATGAAACGATGACGGAGAGCGGAGAGAGGATTCAGTTAGAAGAAATGGAGGAGGAGAAGGAGGTGGGGGAGGAGGAACAAGAGGAGGAGGAGGAGGAGGAGGAGGAGGAGGAGCGTGGAGGAGGAGGGGGAGGAGGAGAGCACTATGGGCGGAGAGAGGATGAAATTGGAAGAGATGGAGGAAGATGAGGCGGAGGAGGAGGAGGAGGAGGAGGAGGAGGAGGAGGACGAGGGGGGGGATAGGAGGATGAAAGGGACTGGGGAGGGGTCGGAAGAGGAGGAGCAGGAGAAGGAGGAGGAAGAGGATAATGAGGAGGAGGAGGAGGACGAGGAGGAGGCAGAGGAGGACGAGGAGGAGGAGGAGGAGAACGATGATGGGGTCACCTCGCTGGAGGCGAGGGGACGGAGCTTCCGCCTTCTGCCCGCCTGCTCTCAGGACAAGCTGCTGTACTCGGTGATGCTCACCCTGAAGTGCCAGGAGGTGGAGAAGGAACCTCTCTCTTTTTGTCTCTCTCTCTATATATCCTTCTCTCTCCATCCCTCCCATCCTCTCTCTCTGTCTCTACCTCTCTCCTTCTCTCTCCCTCCTTCTCTCTCTCTCTCTTTCCCCTGTCTCCCTGTCTCCCTCTCTCTCTCACTGTTTCTCCCTATCGCTCGGCATCGGGCCGACTGACGTCCCGACAGTCCTTTCCGCCTCGGGGCAAGGAGGTATCCCGTTCGACAGCAGCTACCACGTTACGAATGGACCTGGACCAAGTGAGTCTGTCACCGTGTGGTACCAGGACGGCCACCAGTTCACGCTCCACGAGAGCCACCAGGCATCTCAAAGGCTGAACGCCTTCGGAGCCGTCCGTAACGACAAACGAGTCCGTTTCCGAGTCAAACCTCACGCGGACGGAGCCAACGCTGTGGCCATCGATCTCCGAGGAACCGACGCGGCATTGGCCAACACCAAGTGCCGCATCACAGACATCGGGCTCCCGAATGCTACAAGGACTCAGACTGTCAGTGTCCGTGCCTCCCTCGAATGGCACTGTGAAGTCTAGAGTACGGGGTGGGACAAGACGACCACTGGAGACTTCTCCTATCGTCAGAGCGGCAACGGCCCCCCCCCCCAACACCGCACATGCAGGGCTCAACTATTCCGTTGACCATGGCACAGGTGGAAGCTATCGCCAAGACGGAGCCACCAAAGACATCGACGGTACATACTGTCTTACCAGGTGCTATTGCGCGGCAGTGCCAGCTTGCGCGGTTGCGCTGGGCCACCGCGGGCGCCCCTGAAGCCGCGCGCCAAAGGTCACTCTGGCCTTGGGTAACTCTTACGTGCAGTCGATATCATGGCTGCACCTGCCCATCGGGATGCCCACCAGAGCGAGGTACTACATGATGAACTTGACGATCCATGGGCCCCCCTCCCCACCAGAGCTTCGTCAAGTCTGCGGCCCCGCATCGAGTAGTTCAGCCTTCCGCGGTCCAAGTTCGTGTCGCACTTCTCGGCGCAGCCATAAAGTAGCCTTGGCCACCAGCCCTCGTCAGTACTCGCATCGTTGTGCCCCCGAACTGCGTGAGTCGGGTACGATGTGGATACGCTGGCTACTGGCTGGAGGTGGCTCAGCCTCATGAGCGCACACAAGTGGTCTTCTCTACCGGTTGGCGCTGAGATCAGCCACACCTTTGGAAGAGTGCAACCCTGCAGTGAGTGGTTCAGCCTTTGCAGCCCGTGGTCGCTTCTTCAGCGCAGCGCTGGCCACCAGCCCTCGTCGGTACCTTGCATCGTTGCGCCCCCGTACTGCGTGAGTCGGAGACGGTGCGCACGCACTGGCTACCGGCAGGAAGCGTGGGTCGGGCGCTGCCGTCAGCCATACACTCGGTGACACCCGATGTCTGGCCTCGTCCTGGGAGTGGCCCTGCTTTGAGTGGTTCAGCCTTCTGCAGTGTGTGGTCGTTCCCTTTGCAGAGCAGTCTGCACAGCCACCGTCAGTACTTTACATCGTTTTGCCCCCGAACTGCGAGAGTCGGATACGGTGTGCACGCGCTGGCTTCGGCTGGAGGTGGCTCAGCCTCGTGAACGTACACCAGTGGTTTCGTCTACTGAATGGCTTCGACGCGGATCAGCTACCTTGTAGCTTCAGTGAGCCTTGATGAGACAGGCCCCTTCTGCCGCACCATCGTTGCTCATGGTACCACAGTGTGCCTGTGGTTGTCGCTCGCTTTCGCTCTTTCCCCCCTTCCGTGGCCGTGGTCTGCCCGGCACCGTGCCCTAGCATGCAGGCTTCGCTTGGCGCTGGCCATTCGGACCCTCGTTCTGCACTGTGCCTCGCCGCTTGTCCTGGCCTCTTCTCCGTATGTGGGTCGGCTGGAGCTTGGCGCCGCAAGTGCGACTTCTCCCCCCCGTTCCACCGCCGGCTACCGCGCCTCTGTCCCGGTCACCCGCTGACGGTGTCTGCGTCTCAATGAGGGGCATTTTGTCCCTGGCATGTGCATGCGCCACTGCGGCCAATTTACATCGTGCCGCTCCCCGGGCGTTGTGCCCGCTCCCTGGGCTTCTCCTTGGAGCCGCGAACCCAAAAAGTATCCCCACCAGCCACGTGACATCAAATCCCTGTTCCCCAGCGTCTCCCCGCCAGAGGGCCCCGTTCTGCCAGCCCTCTCCACCTCCAGGCTCACCGGGGTGGAATCCGACGGCCCCATGCGCTCCTTGGTGAAGTACCTGCTCGAATGGAACCATTCCGTCTACAAGCGATGGGCTGATTTCGTGCTGCAGCGCGGTGAGGGGATCACGGGTGATAAGACCGATGAAGGATCGTGGCCCCCTGCACGTCTTCGCCATTTCCTGGGCATAATCTACGGGGGAACGGTCCCGAGCAATTGCTACCCCCCAGACATCCCATGGGGCGGGCAGCGGGCCGCGGTGGCACGAGTGGTTTACCACCTAACAAAGTCCAACGAGAGGTACGAGGACATGTGGTGCAGTTACGCTGCCAACCTGGCCGAGCAGCGAGGACAGTGCCCCCTTCGCCAACGGATCAGCGCACTGTTGACATACCTCATGGGGATCGACCGCGCCGCCCCTGCCTACGGAACCATCAGCGTACTGGCCCGCCGAGGCCCACGCGAGGCAGACGCAGGCTCCACAGCGGCGGCCGAATCCCCAGCAGCAACCTGGCTGAACAGAGCAGGCGAAACCGCAGACCCCCCCCCCCTGACAGACAGCCACGGACCAGTGCGGGAGGACACTGCTGACTACGCTCCCAGAGCAAACCCCCGCGCTACAGGAGCCGACGTGGGAGACGGTCCTCCGACGGAAGGGAGAGGCCCCCCCAACCAGGCAGGCAGAAACGAAGGCGAACCGGAAGAGGTCGACTGGGGCGAAGACAAGAAAAGCGAGTCAGACGCAGCCAAAGACACGAGCCCGGCGGTCAGCCCAACCCTTGTGGCGGACGATGGAGAGGAGGAGGGCTCCTCCGACCCCCTCATCCTCTTCGAGGACCCGCCCGACAGGCCCGATGCCCGGGCCCCGTTCGATCGGATCGTCGACCGGGGCGGCGTCCGTGAAGTTAGGAGGGCGAGAGACAGCCCACAAAGAGCAAGCAGCTCAACCTGGAGCATCAACGGCGCCAGGGGCGACCGCATCCTCAGCCGCGCGACCGGGGGCAAGGGCCGCCAACGGCCCGTGTGGGATGACGCCAAGGACGGAGAAGGCCGCGCCACCAAATCTCCAAGAGGCAACCCCGCGCGAGTGGAGATCTACGAGGCGCCCTGGAAGGGCGCGAGGACCGCGCAGCCGCCCCGTGAAGACCCAAACGATCCTATGGGAGGCATCCCCATGTACATGTGCCCCGTTGCAGCTGCAGTCGTTGCGAGGAAGGGGCCGGTGCAGGATGAGATAACGCGCCTGCAAAAGACGCTGGGAGGAGCGTTCAATGGAATTTGGGCCGCATGGGTGAAGAGGGCTGTTCTGAGACAGGGGCTCAGCGGAAGCCAAAAGCACAGCCCTAAACTGAACGCAGTCCAGTCGTACAGCGAATTCCTCCAGGCATGGAGTGACGCAGGGTACGACGCCTATAAGATGGACAGCGAGCTAGGGCTCAACGTCAACTGGGCTGCTGTCAAGGGCAATCACATGAACCTCATGCACCGCGACTCCCGTGTGCACGCTCAACGCGATCACGACAGCAACAGCAGACCCGCCCCATGGACAGCAGAGGGCAGAACAGCCACCGCTGCAGCCGCGCATGACCGATGGGCAGGCGCCATCGGCTCAGCCACCCCCGGCCAGTGGCAGGACTGGCAGGAGTGGAACTCCTGGGGCCAGCAGACAGCCCCATGGACGGACACGGATTGGTCAGGAGAGGGTATTCGGTACTCCCCCAGGGGGGGCGACCGGTACACGGACAAGCGCGCCCGATGGTGGGCTAGGGGGGACTCGCGCCCACGGCTAGCAGGGCCAGGCCAACCTGTCACCGCGCCCCCGGCCCTCCTGGCCAGCGTGCTCCGTCCCCCTCACCACCTGCCACCCCCCGTCGGGGCTTGTTTCACCTCGCAGCGCCCGGCCTTGGCCGTGACACCTTGGGGCAACATCCGCTGGGGCGGAGGTCGCCCCACATCTCACCCAAGGCGCAGCATAGCTAGACAGCCCGCGCCGGATACGTGGACCCATCCCTGACATTTCGCCCCCCTGCTCATCGGGGGGCCGGCCCGCTTGGCTGGCCGGTCCCGGAACCACCCGCTCTGCTGTCCAACGGCGACAGCCACCCACCTTTCGGTGGCAGGGGGGCGTCGGCAGAAGCACCCCCCCCTGCGCGCCAGCCTACCGGCCTGTTATTTCAGGCCGCAGTTTTGGCAGCTTCGGCTCCAGCGGCGAGTAGCTGCGACTCCCCAGGGCCCACCTCCGGGGACCCATCTCGCTGCTGGCCTTCCTCCTCTGCGTTGACTGCGGCCCCGGTGGGCCGTCGCCCGTTCGCACACATTCAACAGAGACCTCAGCGGCGATTAGCTGCGACCCCCATGATGTGTAAAATTGATCCTAGCGGCGACTAGCTGCGACCCCCCTTTCTTCCATGCAAGTGCTAGCGGCGATTGAGCTGCGACCCCCAGGGCGATCCAAGTGGCAGACCATGGCCCCTGGCCCACGGCAGCAGGGCGCCTGGCCGTGGGGTGAGGCGTTGCGTCCCCTCGCCTTTCCCTTCCCGGGCCCGGTGGGTGTCCCCCGCCCGTGGCTCCGGGGCTCGCCCGACGCTGCACTTGCGTCGGTGCTGAGACCCCCCCCTCCCTGTTCATGCCTTGGTCCGTGCTGCTCGTGGTCCTGCTCTGCACCCCCAGCGACAGTTACCGCGGCCCAGGGGGGACGCGTGGTGTGTGTTGGCGCTCGGGCACAGGGGAAGCGCCGTGCGACAGTCTGGGTTGGCTGGCCACTTCAGCTTCGCGGCAAAAGTCTAACCGTGCTATTCGGCACTTTGCCCACGAGCATTCGGCACCTAGGATACT